CAGGGCCTCGCTCGGCTTAGTACGGTATGGCTATGCCTCGTTAGGCCAGGCTCACGTTTACATTACAGTTTAGGAACTGGGGCAGTAACTATAGTAACGCAGTGTAGGCGGAGCCGTGACGTCATCTTCAATGCGAAACACAAAACCAACATTAGCCGTTAGCTGTTAGCACTCAGAGCTCACAGCTCCTCATATCTGTTCAGAAACTAGACAAAAGTTAAATAAGTACAAACCACAGACTGTCTGTGTCATGGAGAATACAGTCGCTGGTTTATTTATGTCTGTAGGCCGTTGTTGTGAGTGTGGACGGTCGGAGCATTTACAACGTTAGCTTAGCCGATCTCCATTCAGAAAACACGCATTTTAAAAGGTTTTTCGCCTGCCGTCTGTCTGCAGACTTGTCAAAGCATTAATTCATGGTTTTTACTAACCGGTATCAGTATGTTGTTACTTCGGCATCATTTTGAAACGTGTATTACAATTAAATCACGGTAAAATATGTTCATTGTGTTGTAGTTGTAGCCACTCACATCTCTAGTTTAGCATATTCAGCCCGGTTGTTGGCCCGGAAAGAACCACGATTTTGGAGGGCCAGAAAAACTGTGAAAAGGTAGCCCTGAGCCGGAACTAACCCTAGTGGAAACGCAATAAATAACGGGCCGGGTTTGGCACGGCACGCTTAAACCGTGCTACGCGCTGCAGTAGAAAATGCGCCATAAGACACTTGTTAGCAAACGCTGTATTCATAGAAGTTTCGGATATTCACAAGTCTGGTATTTAATTAGTTATTTAATGTCGTAGAACCAAACCTGATAATGTGTAAGCTTGTGTTAACCACAGACCTTTCAGGCTTCCAACCAAAAACGTTTCTATAGTCCATTGACTTCTGAGGGAACCAGAAGTGCTAAAACGATAACTATTTTCCTAGTTTGAGGACTCATTCCTGCACCACTCCTATAGCAGGATTATTTTTCAAAAAACCACAAGAAAAATAAAGTACACGGAACTCACAAAAAGAAAGGGGCAGGACAGAAACAAGAGGAGAGGTTATCTTACTTGTCTAAAGGGAATAGTGTGGTTGAAGAGGGAATGGGACTTGTAGACAGTGGGTGGTGAGTACAGAGAGCAAGGACCCTCCTCCCCAAGACACCAATCCTGATTGGTCAAAGGCAAGGTCTGTCACGGTGACAGCCAATGGGAGACCAATTTAAGTGGAGGTGAAGGGGTGGGAAGGGGAAGTTTGAAACAGGGAGGAATGGTGTAGACGAGGCAGAAAAGGTAGAATCACAAGAGGGAATAAAGAATAGTAAGAAAGGACAAAGTTAACTAGACACAAGAAAGACAAAGACAAACGGTCACTAAAGATCGCGTTGAGACGATACCTTGTCATAGTACGATCCAGCATCTCCAGGTGTTGCCTCTTTGGATCCAGGTGGACGATAACCCATCCCTCCTCCTCCTCCTCCTCCTCCTCCTCCTCTGCCAACCTTCCTCATGTCTCCGTTGTAATCATTCATATTCATTCCCATGGCTCTCTTCTCCGCTTCCATCTTCTTCTCTTGGAGTGAACCTGGAGCCAGATCCATGTTGTTCTGGCCACTGGGATCATCGTTCTGTCAAAAAGAAATTACAGAATAAATATCATGTAGGAAATTAGCATCCAGAAAAATAAATGTTTACCATTCTGGCTAAAAAGTGTGTACGGTTTTAAAACACAACATCTTGGTGGAGAGGGATTTTGATGTTACAGGGTATATGCAGGAACCCTGAAGTCCAATGTAAGACCTTTTTTAAGACCCTTTCCATACATTTTAAGACCTCATCGCCACTTCGAGTTTTAACCGGTTACATTGGCGACACACTTTACCTCACATTGACTATATACAGTATTGATTGTAAGNCTTTATAAGGGTATATGCAGGAATCCTGAAGTCTAATGTAAGACCTTTTTTAAGACCCTTTCCATACATTTTAAGACCTCATCGCCACTTGGAGTTTTAACCGGTTACCTTGGCGACACACTTGACCTCACATCTACTATATACAGTATTGATTGTCCATC